CGGGCATAGACAGTTTTGTTAGTGTGTACAAACTTCATATATATTTGTATGTTAAACAAGCATCTTGTATTAATGTATACAAAATGGATTTGGTTATATTCCATTAATCCTTTCACTTTTTATTTTGGTATCAGTGTCAGTTAGTGTCAGTGGCAGAGTGTTTTAGGTAGGATAAAAAAAGTAAAATGGTAAAATGTGCACTATTGTTTCTGGGCCCTACTATGGGCATGGGCACAAACAACAAATAGCATGCACATATGTGGTATTGTTGCAATCATCAAGAGTAAGAGAATGTATACTGGGATGTCTTTTGTGAGCAAGAAATATACAGTGAAATTTTTAAAATTATATATTTTTTTTACTATATTGTGCCGGTTTTTCTTTGATAATAAAAAAAAAAAACAAGCGATATCCATTACCATTTATCATCAAATGAAAACCCAACTTGTCCTGAAAAGAAACAATGTATAATTTATCTGGATACACTAAATGGTTCTGATGATATGTACAGTTTTGCTAACACACGTCAAAGTTGCAAAACTGTGTTCAGACATTATGATTTGTTTTACAAAAAGCTCCCTGCTTATTCGCATTATAAAACTTTTTTTGCATTGGTACATGTCTCCATTGGCAGTTCTTCTTTTAACTACTGTCCATTTTTAACAAAAGCTTGCAATTTAGCATCGAGACAGACCACAAAAAATGTTTGAATTTAGGGGATTTTTTCAAGTGTTCAGTAAACATCCAGCAAACCAAACTTTGATCAGTTCACTCATCAATAGATAGATAGATACTGTAGATAGATATGAAGGGTAGACTGAACTCATGGTTCATGATGTACAACTGGTATGAAACAGAGACCTCCACCACTTTAAGTCCAATTGATGCAAAGAGGGGAGAAGTGAAAGAAACATTTTTCAAGTCTGAGCCAGTCAGGTAGAAGGTGATGGAGTTTGTCACTACCCGACACCAAATGCATCACACAATCCAGGAGGATTGTTACAACATCATGGAGAATGCTTCATGCTTCTCTCCTGAGTCCTGCTCATTCATGGTGTGAGCATGTCCAGTCTAGGCCTGTATGAAAATGGGAGGGATCCCACATCTAGTGAAAAGGTGTCTGGAATTCCAGAGGGCTCTTGTGCTCCTTCACAGTCTACACAAATGCATGCCCTCTGAGAATATAGTCCTTTCAGTTGATGTTCATTTGATGAAAGATTTATTTCTTCACTATACCACCTTACCAGACTTTTTTCCTTCGATCTTGGACTGTCAATAGACAGAAACCATCTTGAACAATGATACAAGCGCAGGGAGGTTAGGGGAGTGCGTTATAAATTCCCAGGTTATCATAAATCAGGTTTCTTACAACTTAATGATAATCTGAAGTTCTTCCAATTTTGTATAACAAAAAAAAAACATTTTTGAGAGATGAACATCGAATGAGGTTACCTATCTTGACTCTTCACAGACTATACCTTACTTATGCTGCAATACACATGATAATATCTTAGTAGTAATTGCATTGTTTCTACTTACATTTGTAATATTACAGATGTTCTTACAGATCTGACATGTTGCATTGAGGACATAAAAGATTAGTGCAAACAGAATAGATTTCCCGTGTGTGTACTGAAGAGAACTTCAGGCATTTTATTTTCCAGAGCAGTTCTGTTTAGAAAAGATATGACTGAGATTTATCTCATAAATCTGCACTATTTCTGTTTGCAGTACAGACTAAATGTGAACTTTCTTTTAATATGTGCCATCTGCAGTGCAGCTCAGTGCCCTATCTAGAGATATATTCATTGAAGAATGATTATCTTCAGGCAGGCTTTAAAGGTAACTTTGTAAAACTTTTGTAAAAAAATATATCAAATAAAAAATAATATTGCATATTCAATTGCTACACAAGCCAGATTGCAATTTAATGTTATTAAAAATTACCTTTCCTTGTCATTCTGCAAATGGTGCATTTTTCTGTAAATTTCAATGCAACATGCAACATGACAACCTGAAGGCCTTCTCTACACTGTTGGTGCAAAGAACACCTCTGGAAAGTAATTTTCTACTTGTGTGATTGGCTCATTGATGTTCCCAGAAGTCTGCACAAGACAAGTCAAATTCTTGGCATCCTCTGCAATATAAATTTTACTTTTGGTGAGATGCTCCCCAAGGATTAAATACTTCTAAAAGAATGCAGACACTGCAGCTTTTTTCATCAGAACACACAGAGTGCATCAGATGATTGCAATGAACCAGTCCCTTTCAATTAGAATCAGTATACAAATGACATAGTGGAACAAATGGCTTTTTCTTCAGAGTAGAAAAAGTAGGACTCTGTGGCAAACGTTGTTAGCATCTCTGAAATGTACATTGATCACCCAAAGGAGATTTTTTTTTCAACAAAAGTGGGGTAACTCTTTAAAAGGACATTGTAGTCTCTTTACATTTTGAATACACATGTGAATATGATCATCTAAACATAAGTAATCTTAGAAGCTCTGTGTGACCTTGAGGCTAGATTCATGCTCATGCGCTGTGGTACATCGCATGTGATTCGCACAGGAACCACACCGCATTCCTGTGCAAATCACATGCGAATTGTGTGTGGCGTGATTTGAGCCATACATTAGGCAGTCATTTCTGACTCATTCCACAGGGTATGCCTGCTTCTTCAGGGAAATCTGACATATATGTATTCTCTTATAAAAACAACCAGAAGGCTTACAAGTAGTTCCCAGATATAGAGAGCCACAACCATCATATAAATTGGGGGACCCAGATCATTCCAAAAAATATTAGAATCCAGTGTTGTAAAACATCAAAAGGCACACCAGTCCCCCTAAGCAAAGTGTCACAAAACAAAGGATTACTAAAATAATGGAACAATTGCCATCATCTTCCAAAGGTCACTTAGGGTTTCCTAATTAACCTCCCAACAGATCCTGACAAGTCATTTTTTTGCTATTCGGCACTGCGCTATTTCAACTGGCACTTGCTCGGTGATGCAGCATTGTACCCAAACAAAATGTATGCCCTTTTTGCCACACAAATATAGATTTCTTTTGGTGGTATTTGATCACCACTATGTGTTTTATTTTTTCTGATATGAACAAAAAAATACAGAAAATATTGAAAAAAAAAAGATATATAATTTTGATATTTTTTTTTTGTTAACATTGTCCCTTTTTTTGGGATCACTTTTATGGTTATCATGGGGAATATAAATACCCCATGTGATAGCAATAGGCAATGACAGGTATTCTTTTCTGAGAAATCTAGGATCTATTAGACTCTAAATCTCTCCTCTGCCCTTAAAGCATCTGATCACACCAAGACTGGTGTGATCAGATGCTTTCCTAAATTAAAAATGGACCTGTTAATATCCAGCAAAACTGAAAAAAATTAAATGCTTGTAGCTGCTGGTTTCTTATGCAATAGAGATGATAGGAGCCATTTTGGTCTCCAATCAGCTCTATGGTCAGCTGGCTGATTCTCCTGTGGGATGGGAGAGCCCAAGAAAACCGTGGAAGGGTGGCTGGGGGGGGGGGGGGGTGTTGAACGTCCCTTCCCCCTGCTTGTAAAAACTTTCCAGCAGCTAATTAGCCATTAGGATTGCTTTTACATGAAAACCAACCATTAGCTGAAAAAATATTATACCAGAATGATGCCTGTAGCTGCAGGTATCATCCCGGTATAACCACTTAAAGTGCAGCAATGTACCGTGGTCCTTGTTGGATATATATGTAACAGCAGAGAACATGGGCATATGAAGAATCTACTCCGTGGACCAATATGACCGCAATTCATTATTTTCTGTAATGTCCATGTTGAGGGTTAGGCCCAAAAAAATTGTCTGTCAAGAGCTGAATTTGGGTGAGCAGAGATGTATTGTGAGTATAAATTGCTTTGGCCTACAATCAATTGGTACAAATCTTCCATGAAAAACAACGAATGGGCTAAATGTTAATGCTGGCAGCGAATGGGCTGATCCTGCTAACACTGCATTTTTGGGGACACTATACAAGGGAGGCATTAGTATAGTTCTGTTCATGATCAATATATTGATCTGTACAAACGCTATAATAGTAATAGCAGTGATCAGTGCCTATAGCGTGAGTGCGATAGTATGCAGGCAACCTAACGCTAGCTGACCCTGGCTGGGAGGGGAGCTTACAGACCCTGATGATATCTGATGTTGCTAGTGGCAGAAATACAGTGATCAGTTAAAAATTCTATATACTGACACTGTATTAATGGCACTGGCTGGGTGATGAGGTGATCAAAGGGTTAATAGGAGAGATCAAAGTGTTATATGTGCTAATTAGAGATGAGCGAATTATTCAAAAATTCGATTCGGCTGATTCGGCGAATTCGCGGAATAAATTTGATTCGAGTCGAATATATTCGCTGCGAATTTAACTTTATAAAAAGGGTGTTTCTAGGCTTCAGAGAGCCTTTATATTAGTGCAGAACACTGTACCTTTAATTTAAATGCCCTTGGAGTCTGCTGGGGAAGAGAAATAATACTGTCAGTCAGTATGACATGCAGATGAGTGCCGTCGATCTTAGAATCACCGCACACTTCACTCATTTGGGCAGTCACGGGGCCAAAACCAGAGTGTGGAGCCACAGTGTGGCGGTGGAGGCAGCAGCAATGGGAGGCCATACAGCACCCTATGACAAAATGGAACCCACCAGCAGTGTGAGGAGACCTGAAAGTGGCACATGGCAGAGTGTGGCGATGGAGACAGCAGCAATGGGAGGCCGTACAGGGACCCATGAACACACTCTGGACCTGGCAGCAGCAAGAGGAGGCAATACAGGGGCCCATGGCAGATTACGGGCCTGGCAGCAGCAATGGGAGGCCGTACAGGGACCCATGACACACTCTGGACCTGGCAGCAGCAGCATGAGGAGGCGGTACAGGGGCCCATGACAGATTACGGGCCTGGCAGCAGCATGAGGAGTCGGTACGGGGGCCCATGGCAGATTACGGGGCCTGGCAGCACAATGGGAGGCCCGTAATCTGCCAGCACCCTATGACAAAATGGAACCCACCAGCAGTGTGAGGAGACCTGAAAGTGGCACATGGCAGAGTGTGGCGATGGAGACAGCAGCAATGGGAGGCCGTACAGGGACCCATGACACACTCTGGACCTGGCAGCAGCATGAGGAGACGGTACAGGGGCCCATGACAGATTACGGGCCTGGCAGCAGCATGAGGAGTCGGTACGGGGGCCCATGGCAGATTACGGGCCTGGCAGCAGCAATGGGAGGCCGAAAGGGACCCATGACACACTCTGGACCTGGAGACAGCAGCATGAGGAGGCGGTACAGGGGCCCATGACAGATTACGGGCCTGGCAGCAGCATGAGGAGTCGGTACGGGGGCCCAAGGCAGATTACGGGCCTGGCAGCAGCAATGGGAGGCCCGTAATCTGCCAGCACCCTATGACAAAATGGAACCCACCAGCAGTGTGAGGAGACCTGAAAGTGGCACATGGCAGAGTGTGGCGATGGAGACAGCAGCAATGGGAGGCCGTACAGGGACCCATGACACACTCTGGACCTGGCAGCAGCAAGAGGAGGCGGTACAGGGGCCCATGGCAGAGTGGCGAAGCAATGGGTAAGCAGCTTAAATTGAAGGCCATACAGAGGGAACCTGTGTGAAAAATGAAATAACATGTTTGGGGCATGATTCATGGCGGATTTAGTCAGTTGTGTCAGGAACTGGTGGTTTGAAATCCAGACTAATCCACGCCTGATTCTTTTTCACAAACGTGAGTCTCTCCCACACTTTTGGTGGACAGTCGTGTCCGTACCGCGGAGTTACAATACCTCCTGCCGCACACTAAACACGCGCTCCGATGCCACGCTACTGGCCGGGCATGACAGCCTTTCAAGGGCAAATTCAGCTAGTTGGGGCCAAAGGTCAAGTTTCGTTGCCCAGTAGTCAAGGGGATTGTCTACCACGGTTGGCCCTGTGCTGTCCAAGTAGGCCCAAGCCTGTTGTTTGAGGTCCTGCTCCAGGTCCACCTGATGCTGCTGCTGCTGCAGCGGCTGGTTAGTAGTTTCCTCACTGCGCTGGTGAAGAAAGCTACTCATCATCGACTGCAGACTGAGAGGCAGCCGCTGCTGGTGGAGCTGCCACTGCTCCTACCCACCACCCCACCCCTCCCCTGCTGCCATGGCAGCGGAACGCGAGCGCACAGGGCCCACAGTGTCTGAGGATGGACGTTGGCGCACAAAGGCAGAGACCAACTGACTACATAGGTGGTTTTTATAGTATGTTATTTTGGCCTCCCTCTCAGCAGGTGTGAAAAAGGCCACCATTTTTGAATGGTAGCGAGGGTCCAACAAGGTGGACAGCCAAAAGTCATACCCCTCTGTCTGATGGTTATTATTCGGCCTGTCGTTACGCAAGCAACCGAGCATGCTATGGGCCATTTGTGCCAAGGAATGCGAGGGACTCCCTGCCTCCATCTCCACAGCATACTGCCACGGTGCGTCTGGGTCCTCTGTCTCCTCCTCCTCCTCCTACTACCAGATGCTCCTGCTCCTCCACTCCTGTCCGCTGAGTGGAAAAACCACCCATTTCACTCAATAATTCCTGAGCACCAATGTCCTCCTCTACCTCCTCCTCTTCTTCCTGTCCTGCCCCCACAGGGGTCATGTGGCGTTGAGATCTGTGCGCCACGTCTACCGCACCCTGACCACCATTGTTAACAGCATTTGTTCCAGGACGTGCAACAGAGGAATGACGTCGTTCATCCCATAGTCCTGCCGACTCACGAATAGCGTGGCCTCCTCAAAGGGCCTGAGCAAGCGGCAGATGTCACGCATGAGCTGCCAATGGCTGACATCTAAGTTACACAGGGGTGTACCTTTATCCGCTTGTAACATCAGGAAATCGGCCGGTGATGGCCTTTCGCTGTTCGTAAAGGCGGTCTAACATATGTAGGGTTGAATTCCACCTTGTTGCAACGTCACAGCATGAGGAGTCGGTACGGGGGCCCATGGCAGATTACGGGCCTGGCAGCAGCAATGGGGCCCGTAATCTGCCAGCACCCTATGACAAAATGGAACCCACCAGCAGTGTGTGAGGAGACCTGAAAGTGGCACATGGCAGAGTGTGGCGATGGGAGACAGCAGCAATGGGAGGCCGTACAGGGACCCATGACACACTCTGGACCTGGCAGCAGCATGAGGAGGCGGTACAGGGGCCCATGACAGATTACGGGCCTGGCAGCAGCAATGGGAGGCCCGTAATCTGCCAGCACCCTATGACAAAATGGAACCCACCAGCAGTGTGAGGAGACCTGAAAGTGGCACATGGCAGAGTGTGGCGATGGAGACAGCAGCAATGGGAGGCCGTACAGGGACCCATGACACACTCTGGACCTGGCAGCAGCAGCATGAGGAGGCGGTACAGGGGCCCATGACAGATTACGGGCCTGGCAGCAGCAATGGGAGGCCCGTAATCTGCCAGCACCCTATGACAAAATGGAACCCACCAGCAGTGTGAGGAGACCTGAAAGTGGCACATGGCAGAGTGTGGCGATGGAGACAGCAGCAATGGGAGGCCGTACAGGGACCCATGACACAATCTGGACCTGGCAGCAGCATGAGGAGGCGGTACAGGGGCCCATGACAGATTACGGGCCTGGCAGCAGCATGAGGAGTCGGTACGGGGGCCCATGGCAGATTACGGGCCTGGCAGCAGCAATGGGAGGCCCGTAATCTGCCAGCACCCTATGACAAAATGGAACCCACCAGCAGTGTGAGGAGGAGACCTGAAAGTGGCACATGGCAGAGTGTGGCGATGGAGACAGCAGCAATGGGAGGCCGTACAGGGACCCATGACACACTCTGGACCTGGCAGCAGCATGAGGAGGCGGTACAGGGGCCCATGACAGATTACGGGCCTGGCAGCAGCAATGGGAGGCCCGTAATCTGCCAGCCCACACCCTATGACAAAATGGAACCCACCAGCAGTGTGAGGAGACCTGAAAGTGGCACATGGCAGAGTGTGGCGATGGAGACAGCAGCAATGGGAGGCCGTACAGGGACCCATGACACACTCTGAACCTGGCAGCAGCATGAGGAGGCGGTACAGGGGCCCATGACAGATTACGGGCCTGGCAGCAGCAATGGGAGGCCCGTAATCTGCCAGCACCCTATGACAAAATGGAACCCACCAGCAGTGTGAGGAGACCTGAAAGTGGCACATGGCAGAGTGTGGCGATGGAGACAGCAGCAAATGGAGGCCGTACAGGGACCCATGACACACTCTGGACCTGGCAGCAGCATGAGGAGGCGGTACGGGGGCCCATGACAGATTACGGGCCTGGCAGCAGCAATGGGAGGCCCGTAATCTGCCAGCACCCTATGACAAAATGGAACCCACCAGCAGTGTGAGGAGACCTGAAAGTGGCACATGGCAGAGTGTGGCGATGGAGACAGCAGCAAATGGGAGGCCGTACAGGGACCCATGACACACTCTGGACCTGGCAGCAGCATGATGAGGAGGCGGTACGGGGGCCCATGGCAGATTACGGGCCTGGCAGCAGCAATGGGAGGCCCGTAATCTGCCAGCACCCTATGACAAAATGGAACCCACCAGCAGTGTGAGGAGACCTGAAAGTGGCACATGGCAGAGTGTGGCGATGGAGACAGCAGCAATGGGAGGCCGTACAGGGACCCATGACACACTCTGGACCTGGCAGCAGCATGAGGAGGCGGTACAGGGGCCCATGACAGATTACGGGCCTGGCAGCAGCATGAGGAGTCGGTACGGGGGCCCATGGCAGATTACGGGCCTGGCAGCAGCAATGGGAGGCCCGTAATCTGCCAGCACCCTATGACAAAATGGAACCCACCAGCAGTGTGAGGAGACCTGAAAGTGGCACATGGCAGAGTGTGGCGATGGAGACAGCAGCAATGGGAGGCCGTACAGGGACCCATGACACACTCTGGACCTGGCAGCAGCATGAGGAGGCGGTACAGGGGCCCATGACAGATTACGGGCCTGGCAGCAGCAATGGGAGGCCCGTAATCTGCCAGCACCCTATGACAAAATGGAACCCACCAGCAGTGTGAGGAGACCTGAAAAGTGGCACATGGCAGAGTGTGGCGATGGAGACAGCAGCAATGGGAGGCCGTACAGGGACCCATGACACACTCTGGACCTGGCAGCAGCATGAGGAGGCGGTACAGGGGCCCATGACAGATTACGGGCCTGGCAGCAGCAATGGGAGGCCCGTAATCTGCCAGCACCCTATGACAAAATGGAAACCCACCAGCAGTGTGAGGAGACCTGAAAGTGGCACATGGCAGAGTGTGGCGATGGAGACAGCAGCAATGGGAGGCCGTACAGGGACCCATGACACACTCTGGACCTGGCAGCAGCATGAGGAGGCGGTACAGGGGCCCATGGCAGATTACGGGCCTGGCAGCAGCAATGGGAGGCCCGTAATCTGCCAGCACCCTATGACAAAATGGAACCCACCAGCAGTGTGAGGAGACCTGAAAGTGGCACATGGCAGAGTGTGGCGATGGAGACAGCAGCAATGGGAGGCCATACAGGGACCCATGACACACTCTGGACCTGGCAGCAGCATGAGGAGGCGGTTCAGGGGCCCATGACAGATTACGGACCTGGCAGCAGCATGAGGAGTCGGTACGGGGGCCCATGGCAGATTACGGGCCTGGCAGCAGCAATGGGAGGCCCGTAATCTGCCAGCACCCTATGACAATAATGGAACCCACCAGCAGTGTGAGGAGACCTGAAAGTGGCACATGGCAGAGTGTGGCGATGGAGACAGCAGCAATGGGAGGCCGTACAGGGACCCATGACACACTCTGGACCTGGCAGCAGCATGAGGAGGCGGTACAGGGGCCCATGACAGATTACGGGCCTGGCAGCAGCATGAGGAGTCGGTACAGGGGGCCCATGGCAGATTACGGGCCTGGCAGATGACGACTAAAAGAGGCTGCCAAGTGCGATCAGCCTCATCATCATCAATTAGGGTCCCTCCCCCTCACTACTAGCCCCCTCGGCTGCGTGTGGGTCAGGAGACAGACCTGTCTCTAGACCGGCTACCGAGCCACTCTCCTCGCCAGTACTTCTTCGCCTGGCTGCTGAAGAGGCGGATGTCTCCCCCCGTTCCTGACCGCCCTCTGTTAGCTCTTCCTCACTGTACAGTGGGGCTGAGCCCACAGCATGCGATACTTCGCTTGGTGAGGGAACACCAAAGGACAGGGGCAGGTAGAGGACACGTGATTTCAGTGGGCTTGCTCCCGGGCCATGCCAACTAACGGTTGTGTCTGACGTACCCACCGATCGTTGGTGTAGGTGTCAGAGGTGACCTGGGAAGAGGAAGACGACCGAGCCAACCAATCGATGACGGCAGGGTTGTCGGTGGAGAGACACGACCGCTGGATGACACCGGGAGCACTGGCCTCTGGCTGCGACTAGTGCTGCCTCGACCCCTTCCTCTGCTGCCACGTCTGCTCGCTCCTGAAACATTGCCTCCTCTGCCACTCCTCTGCGTGTTGTCTGACATACTCTTTAATTCACGATTCTGTGTCCGATTCTGTGAGAGTAACGATTCTGTGTCCCTGAGTAACAATTCTGTGTCCCTGAGTAACGATTCTGTGTCCCTGAGTAACGATTCTGTGTCCCCTGAGTAACGATTCTGTGTCCCTCAGTAACGATTCTGTGTCCCTCAGTAACAATTCTGTGTCCCTGAGTAACAATTCTGTGTCCCTGAGTAACAATTCTGTGTCCCTCAGTAACGATTCTGTGTCCCTGAGTAACGATTCTGTGTCCCTGAGTAACAATTCTGTGTCCCTGAGTAACAATTCTGTGTCCCTGAGTAACAATTCTTTGTCCCTCAGTAACAATTCTGTGTCCCTGAGTAACAATTCTGTGTCCCTGAGTAACAATTCTGTGTCCCTGAGTAACAATTCTGTGTGTCCCTGAGTAACAATTCTGTGTCCCTGAGTAACAATTCTGTGTCCCTGAGTAACAATTCTGTGTCCCTGAGTAACAATTCTGTGTCCCTGAGTAACAATTCTGTGTCCCTCAGTAACAATTCTGTGTCCCTGAGTAACAATTCTGTGTCCCTGAGTAACAATTCTGTGTCCCTGAGTAACAATTCTGTGTCCCTCAGTAACAATTCTGTGTCCCTCAGTAACAATTCTGTGTCCCTCAGTAACAATTCTGTGTCCCTGAGTAACAATTCTGTGTCCCTGAGTAACGATTCTGTGTCCCTGAGTAACATTCTGTGTCCCTCAGTAACAATTCTGTGTCCCTGAGTAAACAATTCTGTGTCCCTCAGTAACAATTCTGTGTCCCTGAGTAACAATTCTGTGTCCCTGAGTAACAATTCTGTGTCCCTGAGTAACAATTCTGTGTCCCTGAGTAACAATTCTGTGTCCCTGAGTAACAATTCTGTGTCCCTGAGTAACAAAGTAACAATTCTGTGTCCCTGAGTAACAATTCTGTGTCCCTGAGTAACAATTCTGTGTCCCTGAGTAACAATTCTGTGTCCCAGTAACAAGTAACTGAGTAAATTCTGTGTCCCTGAGTAACAATTCTGTGTGTCCCTGAGTAACAATTCTGTGTCCCTGAGTAACAATTCTGTGTCCCTGAGTAACAATTCTGTGTCCCTCAGTAACAATTCTGTGTCTAACAATTCTGTCCCTGAGTAACAATTCTGTGTCCCTGAGTAACAATTCTGTGTCTGTCCCTGAGTAACAATTCTGTGTCCCTGAGTAACAATTCTGTCCCTGAGTAACAATTCTGTGTCCCTCAGTAACGATTCTGTGTCCCTAGTAACAATTCTGTGTCCCCGAGTAACAATTCTGTGTCCCTCAGTAACAATTCTGTGTCTGTCCCTGAGTAACAATTCTGTGTCCCTGAGTAATGATTCTGTGTCCCTAAGTAACGATTCTGTGTGTCCCTCAGTAACAATTCTGTGTCCCAGAGTAACAATTCTGTGTCCCTCAGTAACAATTCTGTGTCTGTCCCTGAGTAACAATTCTGTGTCCCTGAGTAACAATTCTGTGTCCCTGAGTAACGATTCTGTGTCCCTAAGTAACGATTCTGTGTCCCTAAGTAACGATTCTGTGGCCCTAAAGTCTCTCTGGCCCTAACTCTGTCCCTAATACAGACAGGTCTGTCTCTCTTGAATGACCGGAGGCTAATGGAGAATTGTAAGATGGCCGCAATTTATAGCTCCACCATTACACAGTGCTGGCTGGCTGGCTGCTGATTGGCTAATGCGATCACATGTCATGAATGAATGCATTATGGGTCAGCGCGCCTTGTCTGCGCGCCTTCCCAGAGATCCCCGCTCCGTCGCCACACATGTCGCCGCCATTTTTGGAAAATTCGATTTGTGCATCCGAAGTTTGCTAATTTTCGGATTCGGCGCGAATCGAATTTTTCCTGATATTCGAAACGAATTCCACTTCGCCATGTTCGATTCGCTCATCTCTAGTGCTAATCTAACGTGTGTGTGTAAAATGTAGTGCTTTTACTCCCAGTGTGGTGTTCTCTCTTCTCTCCATGGACCCGTCGGGGGCAGTGGGGGGCAGAGGCGTGGTCACAATCCAAAATAGAAAGCGACCTAAGGTTATGTTGCTTTGCCAAGAGCCACTGCTCGCCCTCATGACAGTTCAGTATAATAGTGATCTGTGACTGGCTAGAGCTGGTCACATGGTACAGGGTGCTGTGATTGGCCCCATGTATTTTGTGAGAGTTGTGAGCCAATCACACACCTCACCAGGAAGAACAGCAGAGCTGTCATGAATCAGATTGATTCATAACAGCTTTGCTAACATTCCCACCAAAAAAATAAAACTTCACCTAAAGTTCAACTTC